TCCGAGTGTCCGACATGTCCTCAAACACCCCCCCGCCCCCCCCCACAACCTGCACTGCATATGGGCTGAAACAAGACGTCACAGATCCAGGTGTGTGTCCTCCATCTGCAGAAAGGACACAAAGGGCTTTGGCCGAGTTCAAGTTTCTTTTCGTTTTTTTTTTTTCGTTTCTTCTTCTGACTTCTTCGTGGACGACTTAAAAAAGACAACACCAGTAAATTTGAAGGCTTTAGTGAAATCACATGGAAAAAGCTGTCCGATCGTCTTCAACATCAAACAACCTCACAACAGGAAGGGGGGTTTGGCAATGACAAAAGCAATATACAAAAAACAAAAAAAAACAAAAAAACAAAGCCACATCTGTTAAGTCACAGTTTTAAACTGCTAATGTCTTCAGACATGAAAATGCTGTCGGATCGTTTTGAACGTGAAGCCGGACCAGTAGCACGTTATGTGATGACAGTCTCTTTTTGGCCTGTACAACAACCAGAACAGATACACAGCTCTTCAACCCACCCGGCCCAGAAAAACACCCTCAGTCCAGGACTCCCACGGTGCTCTTTCAGAGACAGGATTCATCTTTTGTCTTTTTGTTTGGTTTTAAACCTACAGTTTCCTAATCCAACACGGAGCATTTTACATCCCATCTCATCTGTTATGTGGACGCCCATTTTCAGTACAATTTTAAAAAAAAGATGACGTCGCCCAATGAGACGTCGAGTTGTCTGTAAGCCAAACATTTTAAAATTTGCTTAGACAAAATGATTTGTTCGTTTTAGTCTTTCTTTAATAATCAATATATCATAAATCTACTCAGGAAATAAGGAACCTAACAAATTCTTATTGTTTATGTCAATGTTTTCAACTGGTTTATAATCTGTGATTTGTAAATTTGCCTCTGCATCATAATACTGACTGGCTGTTATATATTACTTGTTATTTCTAATCACTTGTCTGCCTTTTTTTTCTTTCTGTTGCAGAAATCGGCATCCACACACCTGAAAAGGTCACAGACAGGCACAGAAGCCGTCACCAAGTCTGTCTTAAGAGTCCAGAGTGTCATTATTCTGACTACAGGGGTTCCAGTCCATCCTCTTCTCCTTCTTTTACGGTTTTATCTCCTCCTTTCCTTCAGTTCCAGACTACATTTCTTCACTGGGAGTCATTTTTCTATGGTTTCGGATGGGTCAAAGTAGAAAAAAAGGACAAAGAAATCCGAGACAAACTGCAGAAATGTTCCAGGATTACAATGATCACATCTCTCCTTGTTTTGTTCTGGGCTTTTTTCTTCTTTAAAAGAGGAGGTGGCTGTTTGTAATCTGTTGAATATCATATCTAATAATCAGTACTGCTTTAGTCTACTTTAAAAACCCCTCTTTTTTGCCTCCATCAATCCTTTAAAACTGAACTCTCAGATCCCACTGATTATTCCATAATGGAATCGAATAGCTTTAAACTATTTTGAACCAATTAAAGATAACAGTAGGGTTTTTTTTGTTTTTAAGTGTCGAAAGAAGGTCTTCGTACCGCCTTAAGTAAAAACAACAAAACGAAATCCTCCAAATGTCGGCCTATCTACCCATTTCCATTCCACAAATTCCTCTTTTCCAAGTCTTTTAATTTGGTGGGTGATGATCGGAGGAGTGCTGGATTAAACGCTTAAACGCTTCGGATGTGTCACCGGGTGCTGGGCTTTGCTCCTCTTTCTTATGACGTCTTGACCAGGTCGTACACGTAAATGAGGAAGTCGTCGTCGAACTTGATGAAGTAGACGGACGGCTTGGCCTCCACCTGGTGGATGACCATGCCTGTTCGTTTGCCGCCGTCCTCTTTGGCGTACTCCACCTGCTTCCCCACCAGGCTGTCCACCACCTCGCCGGGCTCCCGCTCCGCGGGGACGCTGTCATCTGCACGGAGACAGCATTAAACGCCCTGCAGGGGCTGGGATGTGATCAGCCACCAGAGGGAGTGAGTGTGTCTGGATGTGTGTGTGTGTGTGTGTGTGGCTGGGTTTGGGGTAATTGCCTGATAGATATCACCTGTGTCTACCTATGCTTCTTGTTTTGTTGCCTGATACAGAGAGGGTAGATGTAGGGTGACCATATTGTCTATAAAGCTACGCTAAAAAGCTATTTTTCCATCTTGCAAGTCCATTGGAAATTATGTCACAAAGTGTGTTATACTGGAAGAGTCAAAGTCAACACCTTTGAGCAGTAATGGAGTCGTGTTTCCTCCCTGGACTCAGCCTGTCAGACGGAGTCCTACGTCCTTCCCTCAGTGACTGATCTGGATCCGACAGTCGGACTACATTGTCAACAGAAAGTCTAAGTTACAGATCCCTCCAAGGCTTCACTGGATCTGTGCACTTTGGACCACCAGACCACTTCGGACGGTGACCGTGAGTAAACCTAAATCAAATGAAGAAGCCCATCACAACCCAATGGCGTTTGAAACTCGGTCTTTTCATACTGTGAGGTTTACACTTGCTTGGACACAGCTGATGCTGGTTACTGCTGCGTGTTGGATGCTGTTCGATGGCCTGTTTCCCATATTGCTCACGACTGAATACACTGTTGGAAAAATGTTGGTTCGCTTGTTTGTACAAATCAAAGAGAAGTTGGGTGTTGGTGCATTTACTGCTGAAGCTCAAGCTTGAATTGAAGTGGGGATTTGGAAGCAATGTTGGATTGTTGTGGAATAAGATTTGTGCCAAAACAAAGAGGTTGAGTTGTGTGTGACTTGGAATGTGACAGATGCTTTTTGAACTTTTGTTGCACACACACTGTTGGATGTCAATATGAGTGAATCAAAAGCCGTTTTCATTCTCACTGGAAAAAAAACTTTCAAAAGTAGGCCAAGTAAGAGTGAATAAAATTAAATGGGTCAACAGTGCTTTCAAATAATTGATGGTGATGATGTTTCACAGGTGCAAACTCAGCTATATATTTTGATCAAGCCACATGGGAAGACAACTTCTCAGCATGAGTCAGTGATGGAAATGTTACTTGAGGTGGGAAGAGGACAAACAACCAGTCTGGTTTGCCAGCATCAATAAATACAACAGAGGATTCATTCAGGATGTGACACAGTGGCTCCTGGAGATAAAGAAACCGGTATCATGATGTGTAACAAATGACAAAGTTGAGGAGAACTCCATAGCTGGACTAATACATGATGATGTTCAGCCAAATTACAGCATTTCAAATGTTGGAATTTGAACGCAAGGATCAAAATCTGGGTCTTCGAGAACTTCACACTCCTCCACTCTCTCCTCTCTTATTAAAGCAAAGGCTGAAATGACTGCCCTTATGGCTCTTCAAAACTTCCTTCAACAAAAATAGAAGCTGGACCAGAAAGAAGAGGAAATAAGAAAACTGAAAGAGAGATTTGAACTTGAAGTGGAGGTAGTAGCAGTTCACATTAAGATGGAGCTCCTTGGCGTTTCAGGAAGCATCGTAAAAGGTACCAGGCGTATAATATCTGATGGTATGGAGTCATACGTTGCTGGAGGGGCTCCCACCGATCTTAATGCTGAGGTTGATTCTTTTGTCGCGGGTGGCCAAAGAGTGCATGACAATCAAACTGGATCTAGGTCTTGTATAACGAAGCAGAATGAAAGAGAAAATACTGATGCTGGACTTCAAACATTGCACCAGAGGCCACTTGGACACCTGATGGGCCACATGTTCAGATGCCAGTCGATGACAACGGGAACAATTTGCTATCCACAATGACACAGCAAAATGATATTCCTGATCTGCTAGTACGACAACAGAACATCTCTCATTTGCCAAAGAGGGAGATTCAGGTGTTGGATGGAGACCCCTCCACTACCAGGCCTTTATGAGAGCTTTTGGACACAATGTAGAAGACAGGACAAGTGATGGAGGAGATTCCACTAAAAACAGACAATTCAATGGAGCTTTTGGACCAAGATGATCGTAAGGCCAAAATGAGTATGCCGTTTACGCGCTTTGAGCCGAAGGCGTTGATTCAGTGTCTCGACTTATTGACCGTTCCTCATCCTGGAACCGACCAAAAGGAGTGATAGGTTGGGTTCTAAGATTAAAGGACAGACTCTTCAGTCTCTGGAAGAAGAGGAAAGAGGTCCAGGCATTGATGCTCCACTCAAAGATGGGTGAGGAGCAGAACGATGGTCTGAGCAAAGAGCTGCAAAGCCCAGAGACACTTTCCATGTTTCTCTCACGGTGGAAGAGGTAAGTGAGGCGGAGTTACAAATTATAGGATTTTGTCAAAAGAAAAGGTTCCCCGAGGAGTTTTATAGCCTTATATAGAATCAAATTGTTAAAAAGACAAGCCACCTAGCCATCTACAAACTGAGCCCAGTACTTGATAATGGCGTCGTGAAAGTTGGTGGGAGGCTCAGTAGGGCAGCAATGCCCGAAGAATCAAAGCTTCCAATCACATTGGCCAAAGCCCAGCACATTTCTGATCTCATTCTGAGACACATGCACAAAGAAGTCGGCCATGGTGGGTCCTTCCACCATGTGGCAAGCCGACAGATGGCAGAGTTTCCATTTAATAGGATATTTCCAGATGAACCTCCATTCGCTTCAGTAGGAGTGGATCGTTTTGGTCCGTTTGAGGTGAAACGTGGAAGATCTACAGTGAAAAGATACGGAGTTTAGCTCTAAGAGCTGTTCATATCAAAGTAGCCGTATCGTTGGAGATTCCTTTCTCAACGTCTTGAGTTGCTTTATATCAAGACGAGGCCAGGTCAAGGACCTCTGCTCAGACAACGGAACCAACTTTGTTGGCACTGATGGAGAGTTAAAAAGATCTTTGGGACGGTGGAATCAGACTCGGATCCACAATGACCTCCTACAAAAGGGGAATTTTAATCCTCCAAGTGGCTTTAATCATGGGGGAGCCTGGAAAGATTAATTTGTTCAGTCAGGAAAGTCCTTAACTCATTGACTGCCAGCCATTTTCAGAACAGAGAGTCCCATACTGCCAGAGTTTTTTGAGCATTTTGACTGATTTTTCAAGAGCCACAGAATAGTTTGTGCTATGACTATGTAAACACCGAACACACCAAAAGAAAGAGTAGACTCTCTTCTTTCATCAGGAAAAAAAATGTGTTTCTACCTTATTGCTTTATTCCTGGACTTGCGTCTCACCGGCGACATGTTCTCTCATAGCGAACCGTTACCTTTTTCTTATTTGCCTACAGTCTATGCTCATCTCCCATCAAAAGTGGCACTGCCCCCTAGAGGGTCAATTTGTTACTACATACTCTGTCTAGAAGCCGATAGTTACGGAGAAGCTTTAGCAGATCGTTCCCCAGCCACTCTCGTTGAAAAACATAAAAGGCGTCTATAGACGTCTTTGGCAGTCAATGGTTGTATTTTAATTGACGTCTATAGACGTTTTTGGCAGCCAATGAGTTAATTCTACATCAAGAGTACAAACTCTGGATGAAGACCGTCTACACACTGTGCTATGCGAATTGAAGCCACTCTCAATAGCAGACCAATTACAAAAGCATCTGCAGACCCTAATGACCTGGAGGCCCTAACTCCTGACCATCTTTTCCTCCTCAAGGGTCAGCCATCTTTTCCACCTGGTCTTTTCAAAAGAGACGACCTATAGCCGTGCGTAGATGGAAACAAGTACAGTACATGACAGACTTGTTTTGGATAAGATGGAGAAAGGAATATCTGCCACAGCTTCAGGAGCACCAAAAATGGAACAAAATCAAGCGCACCTTTATTCCAGGAAACATTGTGCTTATTGCCTCTGCTCCCCGTAACTCTTGGATCATGAGGAAGGTCACAAGGTTGTTCAAGATAAGAAAGGAATCGTTCGACAAGCCAAGATCAAGACCAGGACAAACCATCTAGACAGGCCTATCACAGAGTTTTGTCTACTTCTGGAAGCCAAGGACACCTGATGGTGTTTTTTTGGTTTCCACGACTTGACTTTGAATATAAGAGTTGTAGCAGCACCCACACTCTGAAAGTTCCGGAAAGTTATATATATATATTTGTAAAAAAAAAAAGAAAAAAAGAAAAAAACCCAATTGTTTAACTTTAAGTTTTCTGTGTTATTATTCAGTAATTACTATGTTATAACAATTAGGAGCCGGAATGTAGAGGCAGGGATGTGTTTAGCACTTGTCACAAGAGGGAGTGAGTGTGTCCGGACGTGTGTGTGTGTGTGTGGATATGTGTGTGTGTGTGTGTGGCTGGGTTTTGGATGATTGCCTGATAAATATCACCTGTGTCTGCCTATGCTTCTTGTTTTGTTGCTTGATACTGATAGGGTTGATGTAGGGTGCCTATATTTTCTGTTGACTTTTAAAGCTGATAAAGCCACGCTAAAGCTATTTTCCATCTTTTAAGTCCATTCACAATTATGTCACAAACTGTGTTTTACTGGAAGAGTCAAAGTAAAAACCTTCGAGCAGTAATGGAGTCATGTTTCCTCCCTGGACTCAGCGTGTCAGAAAGGGGGTTAGCCTAACCCTAACCCTAACCCTACGTCCTTCCCTCAGTGACTGATCTGGTACAGATTTATTAGAATTACTGACTTTACTCACTGGAGTCGGGCATAATGCGGAGGTCTCCCTCTTTGTAGTCATCCAGCAACTGATACATGTAGAGGACAGGGTCTTTTTCATAGGTTATGTAGAACCAGGTGGTCATGATGGGAGCCCGGGCCAGCACCATGCCCCTCCACTCCTCCTTAGGCCCCTCCTCGGTCTCAAACATATGCTCCACAGCTTTACCGATCATGGCCTCCGCCAAATTGACGTCTGTCAAACGGGATTTGGCTGCAAGGGAAAACATTTACACAAGTCACCTCAGGCTTTTGTGTGTGTGCCAGTAAAGCTAGTGCTATGAACACTGCTGTGTCATTCAATTTTACCCTTATGGCTATGCTTACAAGCCAGAAAAAAAATAGAATTTCTAAAGAAAATAGTCAGATGGAAAAAGGTTACCCTGGAAAAGTATGTTTTTCTTTATTTGAAAAAAAGAAAGTAAAAAAAGTAACTGATTTCACTCAAAGCTATTTTCAGGAATGCTAAACTTCACTTTTTTAAACCTTTGACATGTCTAATATTAAACCTTTCATACACAAAAAATCTCTAATCTCTAATAAGGGAAAAATTATATTATGCAACTCACAAGTACGTTACAATATTTGATAAATAAGTGGTAGTACTAGTCTTTAACATCCCTGTTTACCAATAACTAATACATCTTTAGCATGCTATTGTCGTTTAAAAAAGCAGGCAACTTATTAATGCCATGTAATATCTAGCAGACAAGAAAACAACACTTTTCTTTTACCAAATGTGTTGGATTTGATACAATAAACAATTATACTTCAGATTAAGTCAAGCTACGTGTTATGAATGGTGTTAAATAGATGCTAAACAGATTATCTCAGGTCTTACCCAGTCTGTCGGGGAGCACTTCCAGCCCCTGGACCCTCTCGTCTTTGTACAGCTCCAGACCGTAGACGCAGTCGAATCCATCATACTTTATCAGATAAAGCGAGGGGTTGACCGGCACCTGGTGGACACAAACACAGTTTACACAACTGTTTCTCCCTTTTTATGCACCTCCGGCTACACACGGTCCATTCTTTTAACCCTTTAAAGCCTGATCCAAGAAAAATAGGAAGAATATTGGATTTTTTTTAGTCTGAAGTCTTTCTTTGGCCCCTCAACAACATATGAAGAAAAGAAAACAGAAATAAGTCAAAAATATATTTCCGTGTAGTCTTCTACTGGCTGTTATCAGGTATATCTGAATGTGTACAACAGGGGTTTGAGCAAAGCTTTTACCACTGAATGATGCAAAAAGTCTCAGATCCAAAAGACTTCAGAAACCGTATGAATCAAATATGATACATTTGGCATTATAGGGTTAACAACGCCACTAAAAAAAAATGTTTTTTTCCGGACGTGGCTAAATCCTGGCACTACCTGGTCGAGCACTGTTCCTTTCCACACCACGTGTCCCCCTCCCTCCTTCCAGATGTGCTGGATCCTGCAGCCCACGATGTTGCGCTGCGGCTGCGGCAGGACTTTGGTGGCAGGGCCCAGACTGCTCTTATGCTTTCTTAATAGGGGGGGGGGGAGACATTTCCAACAGTTAGCCCGGTGCGTAGCCACCGGTGCGTAGCCACCGGCGCTACGCCGGCACAGAACCAATCGGCATGCAAAAGTGTCAGCTCACTTGTGCGGGTTCTTTTTCTTCATCATGTTTCCAGAAACACCTGCATGCCCTGAAAAGGAACCAAACGCAACACTTTTACTTCCTGTTGAGTGAAGACGGAGGGCTGATGACCTCTTTTTGTGTTCAATCCTGGTCACATCATGACAAAATGCTACATGTATGGATGGGTTGTTGGGGGGCTGAGGCCTATGCATGTGCGTTTTTAGAATGTGAAATACCACAAAAGAAGCCACACATAATACGCAAGCTCCGCGCAGAGTGGGGCAGGATTGGAGCTGGTTTTTGTCTTGCTGGGAAGGGACATTGCTAACAAACGAAACCACCATTCGGCATTTTTGGTCGTATTCTCTTAAAGGAACTCTGTAAGATGTTGTAATTAGAAAACAAATGGATGGTTTTGCGCCCGTGGATTTGAGCAGGACCTTCCCAGCTCCTGTTTGTGGTGTACTGTGTGTTGTTGTGTCATCGGTTGTACGTGAGTGTGTGCATGCTGGAGATATAACAAGGATGTGACTGTGACCAACGGCCCTTTTCTCCACCGCTTTTTCCTATATATCTATTTATTTATTTGAATAGGGACAAAGCACATTAATGAACATCAGTATAAAAACAAATGTAAATATGCCGGATTATAGCTACAAAGCTAGTTTTCATCCGTGGTCTCATCCGTAGTTCTTAACTTTAATGGAGTTTGATTTATCTGTCACCATCCCCACTTTGCTCTTTTAACATTTTTTAGTTTTCCTTTACCTTATGATTACGTCTTTAATCATTTGAGAATATCTTGAGAGTCTTTTTTTTTGGTCGTTGAGAAAACAACAGCGTTTCTTTCGGCATTATTTTGTATTCTTTAAATTTCTGTAGCAACAAAAATGCCTCTTTGTATCGCTTAAATAATTTCCGCACTGCAGAAAGGAAATCTTCCCTCATGTTTCCAGACAGCTTTGCCTCATTTTGGTCATCTATGAGCCGCACGTGAGATATTTCTATATACATTTTTGTCAAGTCTGGAAGTTGTCTTGTGTTTAAAGGCCTGATTCTCTTAAGGAAGTTACTCAAAGTCAAAACTATTTCAAAAGTTAAAAAGTTAGGAGCAAAATAATTATAAGATTTTTTAATCTAATGCATGTAAAAGTGACTGCAAAGGCATTTCTATAATAAAAAAAAGGTCGGAAACAAGGTGAAATCAAGCACTAAAGAAAAGGGGGGCTTTGTTATGGCAATCAA